CTATATATTTAGGACAAGAAAAAAAAGAAAACTCAGCCTATATATATGAGACGAGGGGAGTATAACATTATAACGAGGATGACATTATTTGATGCGGTATCCACCATTAATTACCGACTTATTATCAAATATTGTGAATTTTTAAAATATTACCACCATTTTAAATTAGTAAGACGACATTATACATGATTATGCAGATACATGATTATGCAGATACATTAACATGTCTTTTGAATCAAGGCAAAACTCTTCACAAGATCTATATTTTCTTTGTTATATCAATTTAGACTCTGTTTGGTCTCCATTACAATTTAATACATATTTTTATCTCTTCATTTTAATCACGCATTTTTCATTAAAATAATATTGCACATAAATACAAAATTTTTCCTTCTTTTTTAACTATATATCTTCATAAAAATTCATATTTCAAAATTCATTACCCCCAAACTCATTATAATGGTTCCCAAATAGGGGACTTAATAAAGTCTCAATTAGTGCAAAAACTAATTAGAGAAAAGAACTTTGCTACATGACAAACTAAACGAGGGACACGTGTCATTACATGATAGGACAGTTTAAAAAAAAAAAAAAAATACAACTTCTAGTCATGCCCAGTCACCACACCATGTCACTCACTCCCTGTCAGCAATCCCTATATTGTTAGAGAAAATCATAGTTCAAATTTGTTTTATACTGTTTCACATCCAAGAAAAACACTTTACAGGACTAAAATAATAATTACAGGTAATAAGAGCGCAATGCACACGCAACAAACTAGTAATTTAGATAGGTAGTAAAAGAGCGATATGAAGTACTTTCTCTCATTAAGACACTTTTACCATGTCCTTCATCGTCTATAATTAGGATAAGCTTGCTTTCAATTACTAGTAATCACTAAAAGAGCGATATACAATTCTACTATGCTATCATTAAGACATTCTTATAATATATCCCCTCATTTACAATGATGAATCGGGATTCTAGGTATTAAAAAACGAAAAAAAGGAGTTATTCACAACTTTTTATTCTTTCTACACCTTTGAATTACTAAAGATAATAAAATGAAGTAAAAAAGCATCCTAGTACTATTTTTAGACATTCTTATGATCTTATCAAGTATTCTCTAATTTATATTCTTGATAAGTTTACAATTTATTACTATTAATACAAAAAGCACTTTTCGGCTTACTATACTTTACTGGATTAAATCATGATATCGATAAATTGATATTGACAACAGCGAAAATATTTTTCTATCTTGAATTTCAAGAATTGGCGAAAGGTGCGCCACCATCTTTTTATCTGTTTGGGACCAAATCTTCAATGTGATTTATACCCCAAGTGCTATAAGAGTAAAAAAAAATATATCCTTTAATATGTAGTAGAACATTTCATTGTTGTATATGGTCAACTGTTGAACTTCGTTTAACCTTGTTGACTAACAAATTTTAAAAAATTCTTTAAATTTGTGAAACTTCTCTGAACATTACTATATATTTCATCGGAGAATCAAAATCACTTCCAAAAGACAAATTTTTATTACATTTCGTAAAAACTAAAAAATTAACTCATTTGAAATTCAAAAAAAATAAAATAAAAAATTAAGCATTAATAACGGGGTATTTTAATAAAAGACCCAGT